TATCCATACATGGCCATTATTGTTTTGTCTCTCTCCAGTCTCTTGCTCATGACTGGAAACACATCAATCATTCCTATATGATCAGAAGATTAAGTCTGATAGAATACATAGTAGGTCAACCTTTCTTATGACTCTTGTTGCTAAGTAGCAGAGGCTAGAGAAGTACAGTACAGACAATTAAGTGATAGCTGAACACAGTTTGCTTAGTTCAGCATTATAAAAATATACAAGATGAAAACAGGAGAGATGAGGTGAGATTATGTAGGGCCTAGAAAGTTAGTAGTGGAGAGGTAAATATAAAAATGTTCCCTTGTTCTGAATTTATGGATCTAATTGTCATTGCAGTTACACTACTGCAACTCCATTGACTTCAGTGAAATTTCAGCAGCATAGTTGTGGAGGACAAATTAGTCTCATGAAGTTTAAGGGCAGAAGACACAACCATATCATTTAGTCCAGTGGTTCTCAAACTTTTGTACCTTTCAAATAGCAAGCCTCTGAGTGCGACCCCCCCCCTTATAAATTAAAAAAACTTTTTTATATCTTTAACACCATTATAAATGCTGGATGCAAAGTGGGGTTTGGGGTGGAGGCTGACAGCTCGCCACCCCCCATGTAATAACCTCGCGACCCCCTGAAGGGTCCCGACCCCCAGTTTGAGAACCCCTGATTTAGTCTGACCTCCTGTATATCACAGGCCACCAACAGCACCCTCACACTGAATCCAACAACTTGATCAATAAAGTCAAGTTTTACACTGAGATTACATTTATAATTCCACAGACTTCACTGGGAGTTGTACTTGCATACCAATAGGCAGAATTTGGCCTGAAGGATTCTGTGTTAGTATGATTTACTAGGAAGGCTCTTTTATATGGTATTAATTTTTTCATATAAAATTAGGGTTAGATGATGAAAATAAAATCCTTCAATCCTGATAAAGGGTGCTTTGATTTGTCCAGTGCAGTGTTTCAATTCATCTTATAAATTATTTAAGGGGAAAAAACTACAACCTTTTGAAATGACTCTCAGAGATGCATGTTATTTTTCATGTCTGCAGAGGAGTGGCATATTTAGGTGAAATACTCCTTGCTCTTTTTCATGTATATTTACCATCAACTGACATAAAATGTTTTGTTTTAGTCTCTCATCTAGAGAAAAGGTTAAATGATTTCATTGCTCTTTTATGCTTTTGATCTCTCATATTCAGTAAGGAAATTAGTGAAGGATGTGGAAGAAAGATGTATCAGGAGCTCTCATTGGTTTCTTAAAGAGGTTATCCAAACACTTCAAAACATACAATACTAACCTTTTGTCTTTTGGTGTTTTGAATGCCTGCCATTACTATATACAGTGGCAGACTTGTAGATTAATGTAGAGTAAGATAACATAGTAATAATAATAACTTGCTCTAAAAGGATAACCAATGTATTTTACTAAATATATAAGGATCATTTCACCTGCCAGTGGAATGAAGTTAACTGTGCTGTGGAACTCAGCATCTATTGAATATCACAAAACAAGCTTATACAAGAATTTTGGGCAAGAAGTGGAAAAAAAAATCTTTCCAGTTCGTACTACAGAGATTTTTAAGCATGGAGTATGTGTAATAGGATTTAGTCAAGACTACATATAACAATTTTATTCTTGCTAAAAGTGATATGAGATCACAAAGGAGTAGGATCTTTGTTTATCTCATTCAAAAGATGGTATTCCAAATCCTCAGCTAGTGTAAATGACAAAGCTCTATTAAAGTCAATGGAGCTAGACTGATTTACAACACCTGAAGATCTGGCTCAATATTTTCTGCAGCATATTGTCCCATCAATATCCTGGGACATTGGTTCACTGCTGATTCACAAGGGAAGAATGCCTAAGACACTGTTCCCTGTGGCATCTAGACGTTCCTTGGAGGTTTCCCTTCCAAATAATTGCTGACCAATCCTGAGGGTGCTTAGGTTATGATTATGATATTTGATGGGATCCTAGCCAAATATGGAATGGCTGCAGAGTAATGTTCATTCAATATCTTTTTAGTTCAAATTTATGCTCAGAAAGTATGCTGCAGTAATCCCGAATTCAAAAGTCCTCTTCTTTGCAATTATAACTTATTTTTATTTTCTCCTCCTCGTCACCAAAAAAACAAAACAAAATCCCACTAAAATAATCTTGTTTAAAGACTGTATTGGTAATATGATTAGTTTTTAATTAATAAATGTGTGGAGACAAACACACAAGATGTGGGGAAGAGAGCTTGTCTGCAAACAAGGTAGTCAATCTATCTTAGATAAATAAGCTGCTGCTTATAGAATTTGGAGGAAAAAAGCATGTAATACTTTTTGCTGAGAACTTTTTACTGTTGAAATATTCTTTCTAAAATTGATGTAATTCAAAAAAATAAATGCAAGACAGATGAAACAGCCTTTTTTAGATCCTGACAGTCTACCCTGGGGACTGATTCCCTACCACCAAGCAATGCCGCCTCAAGCACAGCTTTACTAACATATTTCTTCTAGCAATTGCTCTATCAGGGAAATCCTAAAAGACCTCGTGTCATTGAACAACAAGGAAAAACTATAGATTTCAGTTATTGCTTTAAAATTGAGATTTGAAAGCATTCATCAAAAGTTTTCCTGTCATTTGTTTAAACTTATAAATGTTTGGGTTTTGCTTCATGGTAACACACAAAGGACCAAATCAGGATCACAGCCTCATTGTGCCTAGTAATGTACAGATACACATTAAGAAATAGTTCCTCACCCAAAGAATTTGTAATCTAATTTCAGACATTTATTAACAATGTCTTTGATTTCATCTAGCATACCATTAATTACATCTATTTATATTTTGAGTGTCAAAATAAGATATTTTAGTTAGTGAATTTTAAAGTTCAACAATAGCCAAACAAGTAGAAAAAGATAAATGACATTCTCTTTCCAGGAATATGCAGTTCCCTTTCAAAGAACAAAAGAATTGGAGCAGATAAAATACAGTAAAAACAACACAAATGCATTTTCAATTGAAGTGTTGGCAACAAATGGGCCATCTTATTTTGGAAAATTATTTCAGGATGAAATGTAGCATGTTTCACATTTTCATCGCTTGCTCTAACACAAAGATCACTTAATTCCACGCCATAATTTTATTTGTTTAGAGTATTGCTTAGATATATCTTTGGGCTATACACATTCTTAGAAGAGATTTTAAATTTGTAATAGATACAAAGCTGCTGAAAATTTTACACATAAGAATTCCAAAGAGTTCTTTGTAAGTTTTTATATGAAATTATTAAGAGTGCAAAATGGATCTGCAATGATTGGATACTGTGGCTTCCATATAAAACTATGAATAGCATGCATGGTTTTTGGGTTCCCTTACTGGTAAAATTTTCACAGGAGCCAGTATTGATAGTTGAACTTACCAGTTTAATAAAACAAAACAAACGAAAATGGAAAAAAACGAAGTGTTGGACCATCATTTCCCAGACAGGTAGGCGTACGTTCTAGGAATTGCCTTTTTCACAGCCGCTTCTCTTTTTCACATTTAGAGCTTTTAGAATGCTTGAACATTTCCTTTTTGTCCCATCAACCACTCACAGAAAGAAAAAAAATTCCATAACTACTTGGGGGATACTGATACTATCATGGTAGGGGTAATCAAAGTGTTTAGATAATGAGCTCTAAACTAGTTTAGTCCCTTAGGTAAATACATTTCAATATATTTTCTTTAGCGGTAAAAATATTTCATCAGGTTTTGAGATCATTTTTGATTCCTTGTAGAAAACTCTGAACATCTGTTGGTGATGAGGAGGAGTTTGTTCTTTTCATAGGTGATTTTTGGGATAGCAGACTGCAGAGCAAATTATATCTGTATATTGTGGAGCTGTTTATGCATTATTATTTTTTAATTCTCCTCTCCTGTTCGGTATATTGATGGCATAATCCTAGATGAATGAGATCCTGTTCTTTCCTTCTTTGCATTTTTGTTTTGGAGTGAGACATGTCCAACATTTTGTGTTGATGATCCTAGAAGTTGTAGTCTTACAGCCTTGCTGCTCTTTGTTTGCCAGCAAATCTGTTGTTTACACTTCCGGGTTTATAAATGAATCTGTTTTGTACTTCTGTTTCAAATATAATGATTTTTTGTTGCTATCCATTTGCAAAAATTCTCATATCCAGGCCCCAAATATTTTATTGAATTTTCCTGTTTTATGTTCTCTTGGTCCCATTATTTGGATGTTTTCTCAGCTCCTATGCTTTTCTAAGTCTTCCAATTATTTTGTTGGGCTTTACACTGTAGTTTTAGCTCCTGCTGGATGCCTTATCTGGCATTATCCTGTAAATCAGATACTCTTTGTTTCAGTTCCTCTGTTTCTATAGATATACTGATGATTTACATGTTCAACACTTCAACTTTGTTTTCCAATCTTCAAGGCTAAAATGAAATTAGTAATTATTTAGTGCATTGGTTTGTGGTGAATCTTCCACTCTGAGTTTTTCCCCCCCCACATAGTTTTGAGGCAGAATTGTTCAGGGTACGTCAAATTTCTGTTAGGAATATTATTGAATGGCAGTTTTCTGAAAAAACATTTCTAGATGGATTAAGACCAAACAGGTAACTTGAGGTATTTAGTCCAATAGGGCAAGATATTCCAGAAGCATGAATCTCACTCCTCCATCGGGATCGCAATGGGAATTTTAAAAAAATCCTATGCTTTTCTTGGAAATAAAATTGTATTTTATTGGTTTCCAAAGTCTACATGTAGTTGATTTGATTTTGAACTCTTGGAATTTCTAAATTTCTTTTTGGTCACTGTAACATATTACTTGTAGGTAGAGTAGCAACGTTGCCCCTTACCAAGTGATAGAAATATTTGCCCATTTTTGAAAATAACTTTTGAGGGCCTATTCGAAATAGTCCTTTATTTTATGAATTCATTGAAGTCCATACAATGCTTTCAAGTTGCTCACTTGGTACTTTGTTGCTTTTTGTGATTTCAGGTACTTTTTAATTGTTTATATCCAGGATAGAGCAAATAATGGGGAGGAAACTGGATCTATCTGGTTTGACAGATGATGAAGCAGAGCATGTTCTTCAGGTGGTCCAACGAGATTTCAGCCTTCGCAAGAAAGAAGAAGAGAGGCTGAGGTAAGAGATTTTATTAATATATATTTTCATTTTGATTGTCCTGTCTGGGTAAAGAACAAGATATATACTGAACAAACTGGAGAAACTTGGCCTTTCAGCATCCATAATAAATATTTTTCACATTATGAAGCTGGATGTATTGAGCACAGAATATTTATTTTGGTTTGTAATTATAGTCAGATTCAGTTATTGGTTAAATACCATAATTGATTTCTTTTTAAAAAGTGTTTGAATACATTTTTCATAGAAGTGAATAGGTGAAGTAAGCTCTTACACACACTCACACAATGTAATATACAGTATCTTGTGCTGAAAAACTTTTGTCTGACCAAATATTCAACTTCTGCTTTCAGTCACATAAAATCATTAAAAAACAAAAAGAGCCCATTACAAAGCAAAGCAAACTAAGTATGAAAGACAATTTCCCTCATGGACTAGCAGGAATGTGAGTTGGTAGATGTAATAGCTTTCCCATAGTTTCCAACTACGTTTCCTTTTGTATGATCCATGTTTCCTTTTAGCTTCTCTAGAAAACATGACTTGCTTATTTTTGAGGAGAGACTGAAGTACCTATCTCTACTTGTTGCATGCAATTTCTCTTGCCCTAATGCTAGCATGACAAATGGATACCATTGTTTATCTCCCAGCATCTCACTGGAATCACAAGAGCAGGAAGTTGCTTAAGAAAGATATGAAACCCAGCCTGTATGTTCTATAAATTGAAAAAGAAATCCCTCTTTTTATTGTTGTGGTTTTATTTCCTGTTGCTGTTCTCTGAAATAATTACTACTTTGGAACAGTCAGAAGAAGGGAACATACATCATCACACTATCCTTCAAAAACAACAAGGAGTCTGGTGGCACCTTAAAGACTAACAGATTTATTTGGGCATAAGCTTTTGTGGGTAAAAACCTCACTTCTTCAGATGCCGTTTTGAGTGCACTGACACCCACTGATCTAATGGAAGAGAAACTTGATTGGAACCGCAAGGTACTGGTTAGCTTAGGATAAAGGGGAATGTATATAGGAATAGACCCCTCCTCCCACTGAGAACCCCTTTGTTCATTGGCCAGACAGATGCAAGTTGCTTGTCTCTTGCTTTCTATAGTCTCTTAATTAAACCCAGCCTGGGGTTTCTCAGACCTCTTTTACCATTTTTAGCCACTTGAGGCAGGTGTCCAGTGCAGATAATAGGCCAAAGAGCCAGCAACCAGAAAATAAGAGACATGTGATTTCTCTGGTGGACCCTAGGTCTATGGAAAAGTGGAGATCTGGAGAGTAGGGACCCTCTTTGGTACCTTCAGTCCCTTTTGGAGGAGGAAAAGGAGAGGATTCAGCAGAGGAAGACGAAACATTTGCATAGGCACTAGGGAGGCTACCCTTAGTATGGGCTATATGATAAATGCCCTGTGAACCCTACACTGAACGCACCTAATGCCTAGCATGGGGAGATGGATAGATAGTGCCCCTCTTCGATGTGAAGTTTTAATAAAGTGGCCTGCCGCTTAAAATCCATCCCCATGTTTGTCCTTGTTCATCTGTGTGTCCTGATCAATAAACAAGATCCTGCCCAGCTTTTCCAAACAGTGGTGGTGTGGTTCTGCTGTGTGGAGGAAGGGCAGGATGAGGAGGGCGCACACACGGAGACTCTACTGTACCCTTTACATGCAAGGATTTTAGTGGTTACTCCACTGCAGAATGAAGGCGGGGGGAGAGCTGGGGATAGTGCGGGGTAGGCTAGAAGAGGAATGAGGACGTAGCCAGCGGTTACTTGAGCATGGCCAGTTGCATCCTAATGAAGTGAGAGTACAAAAGCTGGGAAAGATGCTGCAGCAGTGGCCATGCTGTGATTCCAGTTCCCCCCAAGCCTGAAGAGATGGTTCCATGACCCTTCGTCCCCAGGGAGAATCCCTGTGCAAAGCCTATTTATTCAGGGGTTGTGCGGTGGTCGAGGATTTGTTTCTGGGGTTGCCTATAAAAGTTGTTGGTTAATAGTCATTTATTTGTGAAAACGGGGCATGGGAAGGTGAGAAATATCACAAACTAAAGGCAAAATGGGTTCCCACAGTACACAACTGACCATGTAGTTGGCTTAGGAACGTTCCATTTTTTGGAGGGAGCGGGTGCAACTCTGTTTGCATGCTTTCACAAAGAATTCCTGAGCAACTAGTTTCCTGAGCGGGGATCTGTTCATTATGTGCACTACTGATGAAGCCACATTTCTCTACCACAGATTGATTGTAACAAATGTTCAGTGACCAGACATTACATTTGGATCTTCTGTTAACTAATGGATCACTTAACAAAGTTACCGGTTGGTTTGTGGTTTAAATTGTTGTGGCTAGTTTTTGCAGTGTGACATACCAGAGTACAATCCATACTAATGAGTAGCTGTATCATCCTGCCCTCTAACCTGGGGTGCCCTTTACACTGCTTTGCTGCTGTAGTCTTGAGTCTGGACTGCTCACTAACAGCCTCCAGCATGTAAGTCACTCCCAGCACACAGCCAGCGACGCACACCTTGGTTCTTACCAGTCTTGGTTATTCTGCAGGGTGACCCTAACACCCTCCCAATCCCAGATTTCCCCCCAGAAATGTATGTCCTTTACTGCTATGCCCTCTCCGAGACGGTACAAATCTATTGAGTCCTTTATTCCTTTAAGGGACTAATTATGCACACAACTTGTTACCCCAAATGGAGTTATCCAGACACTTCAGCTTGAACTCACTGGATTAGATAAAACAATAAACAAGTTTATTAACTAGAGAGCGATTAAAGAGAGATTTTAAGTGAGTGCAAGTAATGAGGCATAGAAGTCAGACATGGTTACAAGAAAAATAAAGATAAAATGCTTACTGATGCCTAACTTAACAAGCTACGTTAGATTCAAAGCAAAGATTTCTCACCACATGCTTTCAGCAGTCTTACTGACCACACTCTTTAGGTCAGGACCCCTTCCCTGGAGTCCAAAGGCTGCTTTCTTTGTCTCTTCAGGTGCAATGAATGCAATGGGCAGGGGCAGAGAGAGGGTGCTTTGGGGGTGTTTATCCCTCCTTTTTATGTTTTGACTCCCTCTTGAAAAACATTTCCATCTGAGACCCAAGAGACAAAGAGTCTATGTGGAAGGATGTTCTCTGCTGGCTTTTTCCACGTGTTTTGAACTTCCTTTGTTTTCCTTCCCTTTTTGATTACCCTGTATACTGCTTAAATGCAAATTAAGGCAAGCAAACATTCCCTCCTTTGTTTAGAACAGACCTGACTTCTGCCTAGGCAGGACTGTGGGGTTTGAAACGTGTTAATAACATCATGCAGGGAATCTTATAACTTCACATACAATGTTGCTGTACTTACTTTACACTAGGACAGTACTGACCAGGAAATTGAGTTTTCACATGATACCTTACAAGGTGTACTTTTACAAAGATTGTTACAATACTGTGTAGGGTGTGTACATGGGTTATATTCTATCACATATGTTATAATACTGTAAATATTTTGTTTGTTTGGTGGAGTAGTGTTGGGAGAAGGAACTTAGTACGATCAAAGGGATAATATTTACACAAGAGAGTATCCCCAAATGTCACCATATAAGGAGCTTTTGCAACTTATAAGTCAGATCAATTCTTGAGGCTGTTTCTATGTAGTTTTAATTTTTGAAAAAGTTATAATTGGCAAGATCTGCCAGCATGATGATGATGATTTTAAAATGTCAGATATAACACACTAGAATTTCTGTAGAAGACAAAAATCACTGTTTACATATTAACATTGTATAGAATTTTGTTACAAAAATGGTTAAAGATATGTATGAGGATGCTTTTTTATCTTGATGTAATAGTAATATATTTCCCTTTGTTACATGTACAATACAGTTTTATATAGGAAATTGATAAAAACCTTTATAAACTTTTGTAGATTGGCAAATTAGCTAAAATTGAATGTCAGTTGTGAAAATCAAGAGATCAATAATTTTTACATAGTAAGTTTGTTTATTGAAAGGGAACTTATTAAAGCTTTCACATGAAATGTATTTTTATATATCTATATAAAAAGGGGTTTCAGTATACCTGCTTCTACTATTCAGAGCTTTATATTTCACCATTGAAATTTTAGTAGCTACCTTTCAGATCTGACTTTGGCATTGAAAATAATGTTGTTTTGCTCTGTATGACAACAAAGAACAAGAACTGTTTAAGATAATATAGGAGAGTAGACGCTGATATAGCGGAAATCGTCTAACAAGAATGCAAGCTAAAAAAACTGAAATAGGTTGATGGCTCGTTGGCTCCAAATCCACTTTGCCAGCAGAATATAAAAAGCTTACTAATGCACAACCAGAATGACAGTTTAAACTAATGTATTTATTGGAAGTGTGGCTAAAGTTAGGAAAGACGCAACATACAGCATAGTTTTCAGTCTCATTATACCAATATCTTCCATTAATTCTTTCACGTAGTTTTGTCTATTCACACTTCTATGCAGCTTAAATGATGAGATGTAAGAAATTTATGACAAAGTCAGACTTAACATTTTTGGCTGGATGGTTAGATTTATTGAAGCTAGTGAAAGTGCCATTGCCTCAGAAGGGCAAATGAGTTTCATGTTGTCTTTCCCCTCTGATGCATACCATAGCTACTTGGGAAGCTTAGGCTCATGTATCAGAGGGGTAGGCATGTTAGTCTGTATCCAGAAAAACAATGAAGAGTCTGGTGGCACCTTAAAGACAAACAGATTTATTTGGGCATAAGCTTTCGTGGGGAAGCTTATGCCCAAATAAATCTGTTAGTCTTTAAGGTGCCACCAGACTTCTCGTTGTGGTTGTGTTTTTTTTTTTTTTTTTTAGGTTCATGTGTTTGTTTAAAGAAAGATGTAGCACTATTGTAACCCATGTAAAACTCGTGCATACATAAAATAAAAATAATCAAGGGTCTGCTTTGATTTCCCCCCCTCCCTTAGTTATTTATTAAAATGATTTGCATACAGATTTTTTCTTTTTCCA